GCAAGAATATTATTAATCATGTTAGCAGTTTCTTTGAAAATTGGTTTCGGTAAAATGGCATAATGTTTAGGATTATTCAGTTGATTCTCTGCTTCTGAAACGTAATCCTCCCTATTCAGAATGACACAACATGAACCTTTGTCACTCTTTTTAATAACAATGCTATCGTCTTTCTTAAGTAAGTTTAACGCTTCACGTTCCACTCGTGTGAGATTAGGCTTTTCGTGTGTTATGGAAAGGTTCACTGTTTGGCTATTCATACTCGCAAATGCTTTCAATATTTCAGGATGGATGGCGGCCTGAGGGGGTGTCCACGTGGATTTAGGAATAAACATTGTTCTAGCACCACGTGGGGGGTGGTTTCGAAAAAAATATGTGCAGCTAAGATTTCGTTGAAATCGTTCAATGGATGATCGGAGATAATTCAAGTTAGCTATCTTTGGTGTGGGAATAAACTTAAGTCCACGGTCTAAGATTGAATGCTGAAGGGGTGTGAGAATTTTGCGGCTCAAGTTAACTACAGTTTGGCCTAGCGGTGGCCTCTCAGTATTTTTATCCCCAGTAATTAGTTTAAAGACTTACTCGATGCTTGAAGCTGGTGTATCCAAAACAAATAAATGCTGTTTGCTGTTTCTGGAGACCAATGAAGATTATCAACTGTTTCGAATTCTTCTTCGTAGGGTGGTAAGATTGTTGCGCTGTTGATACTGGACTCCATCATCATGTTGTTGAGGGTGCTGAGGTTCTGTTGTGCTTTCTTCAAGATTTTATTTGAAATGGGAATACATGTGAAGAGGATCTTGGAGTTTGGGAAGGTTTTGTTGGCTGTGGCGATTAATTTCTGGGCTTGGTTAAAGGAGGTCTTTGGTATCTGATCACGGTTGTTGAGGCCTACATGAAGAATAATGGTAGTAGGTTTGGGATCATGGTCGTATGATTCCAGGATTGACTGTATGTGATGGATTTGGGCACCGGGGTAAGAATGTATTTCGGTGTCCGAACTGGTTTTGGTAATTCGATTCAGGTTAGATGATCCAATTATTAAGGTTGATTTCTTTAGAGCAGGTAGTTTCCATAATGATTTGTCCTTGGTTTGGTGATAATACAGTTTGGTAGCGGATATAATGGTCGTCGACGGTGTGATTGGTACTGGTTTGGTAGTTGTTAGAATTGTAGCATTGGGAACGGACTGGGATCTGGTTCGAGGAGGGGAAGGTCTGGATACATGTCTCGACTTGGATGGAGACTGAGGGGTGGTTTGCTGGTCCAAAAACGCACAGAAGGAAGAAAGGTTGGCGGATCCTGGATCACGGGGTGAAGATTCAGATGGTGTGGAAGGGGAAGACGAGTCTGAAAGTGAAAAGAGAAGGGGTGTGCCCTCTCTACGAGAGCGTTTACCTATGTCTGCTGGACTAGGAGTAGCTGAACTTCGGGCTCGTTTAGGGGTTTGGTTCGGCAGCGTGGTAGCTCTAGATGGTGCAGGTGTAGTGTCCATTTCAGTTGGTAGAGATATGGTTACTCTGGTTTTTGTTTCGTTGATTGTTTGGTAGAATTTGGAAATTACAGCTTGAGTGAGACGTTTCCCATAGGAGCGACGGGCCCAGGACCGGGCATGAGAAACGATGCGGTCGACGGCAGGTGATGATAAAGACTTGGTACGAATGGTGGTCAGCTTCTCTTGAAGTGTGGTTTGGTAATGGTCGATCAGGACCTGCGTAACCTTACAGAGCCATGTCCGATTGAGGGATCTAATATTCGCGTCGACAGCTGATGTTTTCATTGCTGGACGGATAAAACCTTATATAATATATATCGTCACATCCCCCCTTCAACAAACTTAAACTTTTGGAGATCCTAACTTTGGAACTATTACGATTAACGTTTAACAATTCAAAGCACTATGATTTTTAATCATAGTACTTTGCAAAGATACACTTTTTTTTAAAAACTAACAAAATACAAACATTGTGTAAAACATAAAATTCTAATAGTAATAGAAAATCATTTGTCCTAGTGGACCTAACGGTTCGACCTGATCGTGTCATGTGACGTCGATTATTGTCTCCATCAGGTTGAGGAATTGGCATTGGATTTGGATTAACAGTATCGGGGTTAACATCAACCTGAGGTTGCACTAATTGTCTATGACCATTTTCAACTAGTTCATCAAAGAAATCATCATCATAAATTACTTCAGGTTGATATTCATCGGTTAATCTCAAATGTCTCCGATTTCGTCTATACACTACACCATCTTCAGTTTCTATCAAATACGATCTAATATTCACTCTCGACTTCACTTCAGCCTTTCTTCAATAGTTATTTCTTCCAAAAGGTCTAACTCTTACAACATCCCCCTCTTTAAAGGAATTAAATCTCGTGTTCCTTTATTATAGTAATTAGCTTGTCTATCCTTCCTTTCCTTAAGACGTTTCTGTATATTTCTTTCAGTTTTCGGATTAAGTAGTCTACTTGCAGTTGGTACTAATGTTCTGGTTCGCCTTCCAAACAATCTCTGAACAGGACTACTACCAATAGTTTCAGATGGAACATTACGAGAATCCAACAGTGATAATAAGGCATCTTCACCCTAACGATGGGCTTTACCAATTATCTTCTTTGCTTGCTTTACGGCTTTTCGGCTTTACTGTTGCTCTGTGGATAATGGGGCGAACTCGTAATATGAGTAAAATCGTAGTCTTGAGCAAAGTTCTTAAAACTAGCAGAATTATATGTGCGGTCCATTGTCACTAATAATCTTTTCAGGTAAACCATGACGAGCTAAATGACATTTCAGTTTACCAATGACTTCACTAGAAGTTTTATTTCTCAACTTATCCACCTCATAATAATCAGAATAATAGTCAACTAAAATCACGTAATCATGACCATCTAACTCAAATAAATCAGTTCCTAGTATTTGCCAAGGTCGCTCTGGAACCTGGTGTGAAATCAAACGTTCTCTCTGCTGGTCACCTTAGACTCTTGACATGTTCCACATCTTGATGAGTACTCAGTCACTTCTTTACACATATTCGGCCAATAAACAGCTTCCCGTGCGTTTCTCAACATAGCCCGGACTCCTAAATGACTAGCGTGTAATGTTTTCGTGATATCTTCGCGACAACTTTCAGGAACTATCAGTCTATCATTCTTAAATATCAAACCATTACTTATTTATTTCTTCACGAAATACAAAATAGTCTCTCATATTATTTGGAACATTAGTCTTATGCATCGGCTATCCTTTATGCACGACTCGAGATAAAGTTGTCATCACAGGATCAGCCAAAGTTGCCTCTTTGATTTTTTGAACTCTTTTAGTGGACATTGGTAAATTAACTACTGCATCAACAGATTCTATTTCCTTTTCAATTTCACTTCTATTATCAACCATCATAATTTGATCAAAGTTGTTCTTCTTCGCTTCCGTTCTAGAAAGGCAGGCTCTACTGAGAGTATCTGCTAAATATAATAGAGATCCCTTCTTGTAAATTACTTCAAAGTCAAATTTCTGTAAACGAAGCATCATTCGCTGCAATCTTTTAGGCGCATTTGTTACTCGTTTTTAAAATTGTCTCTAGTGGTTTATGGTCCGATTCAATTGACACTTTTCGTCCATAAACATAGTTCTCAAATTTCTCCATCGCAAATACAATAGCTAGCAACTCTTTTACAATTTGGGCATAATTGGGCTCAGTGTTAGTTAATGTTCGCGAGACAAAAGCTACAGGTTGTCCTTCTTGCATTAGACAAGCACCAAGCCCAAAATCACTTGCATCGCATTGAATAGTTATTCTTATCAAAATACTTCAATACAGGAGCTTGGACAATAATATTCTTTATCGTGTCAAGACATTTGTCGTGAACTTCATCCCATACAAATTCACTTTCATCTTTAATCAACTCTCGAAGCGGTTCTGTGGCATCAGATAAACCTGGTGCGAATTTCTGGAGATAATTTACCATTCCCAATATTCTCTGTAATCCTTTCTTGTCATCAGGACGAGGCATTCTTACTATTGCTTCTATTTTAGCAGGATCTGCTTTCAAACCTTCATTGGACAATACATGGCCCATATAGGATACTTCTTTAAGTCGCAGTTTCAACTTGTCTCTATTCAGCTTAATGTTTATTTCTCTACACCTTTCAAATATAGCTATTAACTTTCTGTCATGATCTAAAATGGCTTCCGCGTCAGTTGCACCATTACCATGTATAATGATATCATCGTGTATAGCATGTACGCCTTCTAAACCTTCTATGGCTTGATGAATTCTTCGTTGAAATTCTTCAGGAGCAGGACTGATTCCAAATGGCATTCGTAACCATCTATATCTTCCCCACATCGTACTAAATGTTGTTAAATAACTGCTCTGGGTATCTAACTCAACATGCCAAAACCCATTACGGACATCAACAACGCTGAATATTCTACTTTTAGATAGCACTGGTAATATATAAAAGAAAAATCTTTTCTGGTAAAGCATTAACAGTAGATCCACAATCTAACTGGAACCTTACAGGATTGTCTATAAGTTCTAACATGGCAAATATTCTTTTAGGATAATCATCATTTATTGAATATAAATTCTCTGATTCTACCATTAAAATATCATTTCTTCCACCATGATCTTCATAATCATCTATTGTGTGAACCTGATTTCTATTTCTACCAGACTGGTTGCCTCCTTTATATTTTCTCAAACATTTCTTCCGAAAGTGATTGTTTTCTCCACAATTATCACATATCTGACCCCATGCTGTACAGGGTTCTTTCTTTCTGAAATGTCTATAACCACAGTATTTACACAGAGATTTAAATTCTTCTCTATTCTGCTTCGGATATCTTCTGTCATCTTCTTTTCTGTTATCAGAGATATGTGTATGTTTATTTATTCTGGATTTGAAATTCTGTTGGGGACTTTTCTTCACTATTTTTATTTCATCAGCTTCATTTCTAGAAGATTTAACAGGTTTATCTGAATTCATATCTTTCATCTGTTTAGTGGTGGACTCAAAAGATCTACAAATATCTATACATTTCTTCAAAGTCAAGTCAGCTTTCTGTAGTAACTGTTTTCTTGGTGCATTATCTTTAATACCAGTGACTATTCTCTAATCTAATCGGGCTTTCTTCCAATACACCATAGTTGCATGATTTAACCAAAGTCTTCAACACAGACAGGTACGAGTCAATACTTTCATCTGGCAGCTGATCTCTTTTGTTAAATACATATCTCTCATAGATTTCATTTATGGTACCAATACAATAGCCTTCTAATTTCTGTATCAAAACATCAATATCATATTTGTCCTCATATTCTGTAAATGGTAGGGTATCTATAATCTTCAATGCTGCAGCTCCAATTACAGTTTTAAACGTGGCAGTTCGAAATCTACTTGGCTGTTTAGCTATTCTAGAGGCTATCTCATAATTGTGCCATACTGCCTTAAAATCCTTCCAATTTGTGGACAGGTCACCCTCTAAATCTAGTTGAGGAGGTATAGGTAAATTTACGGAGACAAAAATCTGTTGTTGTGGTTGGGCTATATTATTGCCTTCATTGCTGATTATCATTTCCCGACATTATTATTAGGTTTTCTCAGTCTATTTTCAAAGAAAATTTATAGCAGGACCTTCTTCACAAATTTATGGTACCATGTCAGCCACTTCTGACACCATGTTACGTTTACTAACGTAATTATAACAAGTGGATTCTAACTAAACTTCATTCTAGGCTGCAAAATCGAACAACAACAAAACTAGAGTTATCTTATCTTGGTCGACAGTCTCTTTTATCCAGACACTCAACAGCACAGGTCTACATAAACCTTATATAATATATATCGTCACAGACTGCATAAATCTCCTTCAAAAATAGAAGCCATCAACAATGCACCTCAATCAAATTTTGGTACACTATATGATCCAGACAAACCAGTTAAGCTAACATGTAACGCATCACCATATAGAATTGGAGCTGTCATGTCACACACCTTTCCTGAAGACCAATAGCTTTCGCTTCAAGATCGTTATCAAAGGCTGAGAGAAACAATTCACAGATAGACAAAGCAGCTCTTGGTATTGTCTGGGGTGTAAAGAAGTTCCATACTTACCTTTATAGTAGAAGATATACTCACTGATCATCAACCATTGTTGTCAATATTCCATCCATAAAAGAGCGTTCCTGTGATGACTGCAGCTCGATTACAACCAAATGCACTTTTCAGAACAGATCTATATTGCCAATGTACACAGGCTACCAAATATCCAAATATCCAAATGCCATTCAGGGACGTTCTAACCTTCCAGAATCAATAATTGTGAAATTTGTCCATTTATCTGATCGAAACAACATTCTAACTCAGACTTTTACTGGCAAATATAGATTTGATAAAGGTATATCAATTCGCAGTGACCTTCTTAAAGAATTAAAAAAAAAAACAAAGGGCACAACTTGCTAAAACAGCATATGGCATGAGACAAAAATCATGCAGACCAGAATTCGAGAGACATATAACAGTGTGCGGCTTGAAACTAGGCAAAATAAAAACACCCGCTGGAAGACATATAGTGAAAATTGATAATATACTTGTGAATTAACCTGTATTTAATTGTATGTTTATTGTTATTAATGCCTTATGCTATTTTCTCTTCTTTCTTTTTGAACACTATATCAGTTATTCTATGCTTATTGGTAGTAAAATGATATTTTCCGATTATGAAAGATTAACATGGTAACAAAATTACAATATATATGGATAATATTCTTATCAATATGCTTTTTCACACTTAAATGATTTTGCATAATGAAACTGAAGGCACACAAGAGAGAGAACCTAACCTAATTTTTGTAGTACACTTGAAGAAACCCCATTCAAATGGGCGATTAGAGATATGTACATACATAATGTACAAAACTTTATTTTTATTTTTATGATACTCTTTGTATGAATGTGGGTGAATGTTTTCATTTATGATATATTCTTTTTAATCATTTAAGTTATGCAGCATCTAAAGATACTTTCACTGCAGGGGTTTTAGAGACTTTAAAAAGAGAACTGATCTGCTTGATGTACTACGAGAAAAACAATTCAATATCTACTGTATCCAAGATACTCATTTTGTAGAAGAAGAATCTATAGTTATCCGTTTACAATGGGGGTACGATTTATTTTTTAGTCCTGGTAGATCTGGTTCAATAGGTACAGCTATTCTTTTTGATAAAAACTTTGAGTATGAAATCCTTAATTTTGAAATTGATGATATTGGAAACCTAGTCGTATTGGAATTCAAAATAGAAAATAAACATAACTTTCTCTTAATCAATATATATGGACCTAATCAAGACAAACAAAATTTTTATACAGATATTGAAACGTATCTAAGTAATTCAGATGCAGATTTTAAAATAATTGTAGGAGATTGAAATTTAGTCCAAGACATTGACTTAGACACAAACAGCTATAAACATATAAATAACCAAATACAAGAAAAGCAGTATTATCTTTAAAGGAAAATTTTGATCTAATAGACCCATTTAGAAATAATAATCCGAATTTAAGAAGGTACACCCGACACAAAAAAAAATCCGATTAAAAAAGCAAGGCTTAATTTTTTCTTAGTGAATTTGGTCGACTACAGAACTACAGCTACAGAACAGAACACTCTTTTATAGAATTAGATATTAGATGAAATGACTTCCTTCGTGGAAGAAGCTACTGGAAATTCAATAATTCACTACTAAAAGACAAAGAATATGTTAGCCTTATTAAAGAATGTATGATTAAAGCACCACTTAAACATGATATCTCAAGTCACTCGTTGCTATTTGAAATGATTTTACTAGATATAAGAGGTATAACTATTCCCTATACTATTAAAAAAAAGAAAGAAATTAAGAAAATACACGAATTAAAAAGGACAAAGGAAATAAATGTTATAGAAGCTTACTTAGACACTGATCCAAACTACCTTACATTAAGTGAAATTCTTACAGATTCAAAGCAAAAACTAGAAAACTTAAGACGTAGAAAAATTGAGGTTAATACCATTAGGAGTAAAGAGGAGTGGATCGAGGATGGTGAAAAATCAACGCGATATTTTTGTAGCTTAGAGAAGAGAAATAACTTTAACAAAACTAAAACAAAGATTGATGATCCAGAAAACCATGATATAACCACTAGCCAATTTGAAATTCTGAATAAAATTAAACTTTTTTTTATGAAAACCTATACTATTACCGAACTGAAAAACCATTTACCATTTAAACAACAAAAATGATTGTTTTAAAATTAGGTGGGTAAAACTACAGTCCCTTTTTGAAGACTAAATTTTCTCTTTTGTGTTTCTTTTTAGAGGCTCCATGAATACTTACATAAATTTTATTATTTTGAACATGTAACTTATAATCTGTAAGTATGAATGTATGAAAGAATGTATTGTGAGAATGTTATATTATTGTAAGGCAATTAGCCAGGGCACCCATCTCTGGTATTGCCATAATGCCAACAATTTGCTTCAGTAGAATTCAAATCTTTTACTCTGTCAAATGGTGTTAAGCACATATTTTCAGCACCGCTTAGCTAAATGATTCGTGCAAACGTTGAAACATACTTTGAAATCCGGTAAGCCAAATACTTTATTAGAGCAGAGGTTATGGAATTTCCTACTTGCTTACCGCAATACACAACAATCAACTAAAAATACTGCTTCATCAATTCTACTGAAAGGACATATACTCACGTTTAGGTTTACTGAAACCAAACACACAAAATCATCACAAAATAACCAAATTTCATTAAGAAATTCAACACAAAATAGAATGTTTGATGATGGACATCCTGTATTAGCACGTTCTTATGGAAAGGGAGGATTGCAGGCACAGTTGTAGAATCAACAGGACCAGTTTCATGTGAATCTAAAGGTGCTATTTTTGATGATAGTGTTCCTTATGATGAAAATCCGTATTTTTCTAGAGCTGTAGTGCCTAATGCAGCAATTATCGATGAATTTAATATTCCAAATGCAAATTATAGTTATACAAATTCAGATAATAGTATTGTGAAAAATGTGCCAAATTATAATCAAACTAACAATTCATCTAGTGCCAAACGTCAAATAAATCAAAATCAGATGAATCATAAAACAATTATGTGCCAAAAAGTAAGTTTGGATCAAAATGATTCGATACAAAGCCGCCGATATCCCCTAAGGTGTTCCATGAAAGAACCACAAAGACTTGATATATGATGTGCAAGGACACAATAATGAATCAACAGACTTGTTATTATTTGCTCAATGTTCTAAACATTGTATTCATGATATCATTATGGTGCATAATTATTATTCATATGGTATAATTACTTAAAAGAGTCTAATTACTTAGATTTAGTTTTTATTTAGAGCATATTTTCACATGAGTAATTGCAAGCAGCAATATTTTAGTTAAGTATCAAAATCCCTGTTCCTTTTTTATTTAAAATTTGTTTGGAACAGAATTTTGAATTTCGAATTAAAATTTTTCTTTATGCCCGTTGGAATTTTTTGAAAATTTAAAAGTCTATACTTGTGATCTTGACCTTCAATAACTATCTATAGATATGCACATTGGATGAAAAACATCAACTTCCGGATTTATAACCCACCGAAATTTTTAAAACTTTGGACGACTATACCAAATTCTCTGATAAACACAATGGGCTTGATTCTTTCAGATTATTAACAACTATAACTTCTCTTTATTTAAAGCCGTGAAAAAGTACATTATGAATCTGTTTTAATATCCAATTCACCTAAAATCAATATTGCATATTTCGAAAAGTTTTAGATTGACAACTAAAATAAAGACATTGTTAGAAAGCTTATAACATGAACATTACAAAAACACCAAATTAAATGGCGAAAAAATCCAAGTTAATGTGACATAAAACTCCGAAGATATGAAATATATACAAATTACCAATTTTCATATTTATCAGATATATTTGCCTCAACATATAATTGTGGACCATGAGATTTTTATTGCGTCCCACGGAGTGATGTAACGGTCTGGTGATATTCATTTGAGAAAATCGATACAAATGATATTCTAATTAAAATTAAATTAATATGAATTAATAGTTATTAGTAGTATAAGTACTTACAGATTTACAGCAACTACTACTCCACTTTGTACCGTAGTTGCTAAAAATCTGTCAGTACCCTGCCAGGCGAGCAACTACCCAATTCTCTCCATACTCCTATAAATCACCAGGCGAACACAACTTTATAAAATATCTCACATTCCTTATTGATTGTTACTGATCGAACACACCATCGCCTTTTTAGTCATTCGCTGGTTAGTATTAGGTGCAGACATGTAGTGTATGGTTTAAACAGTATTTTATTTCTATTATACAATAATTCGTAGAGTATGAATAGGGTTTCGGAAACCAGCCAAGGCTTATGTTAATGAGTCACCAAATACAATGTACCAAATACAGAAAACATAAATGAATAGATAAATATATAGGTAAATATTAATATATATAATAATTTAACAATAAAGTAGTTTGATAGTTACAACAGTTGGTTATGTATATAAACATATGAAGGAAAATGTGCAAAAGTGCATAGAGTGTAATATGATTATCAAAAGAATAATACATAATAGCAGGAAAATATATACTTGTACACGGTATTTACCTAGGAGCCTATAGATGAGATAAGCACTCATAAGACGATTGGTTTGGCCCTTTTTCATGTTTTAAATAGAAATAATTTCAATAATTTTACATTGTTACCAGTTTGAAATTTATAATAATTACAGGTCAGTTTAACCTTAATATTTATATCACATTTCAAATAGAAGTAATTTCAATAATTTTATTTTTTTACTTGTTTGAAATATATAATTTTTACAGGTAAGTTTAACCTTAATATTTATATCACATTTCAACTAGAAGTAATTTCAATAATTTTACATTGTTACCTGTTTGAAATATATCATAATTACAGGTCAGTTTCACTTTAATATTTATATCAGATTTCAAATAGAAGTAATTTCAATAATTTTACGTTGTTACTTGAAATATATCATAACTACAGGTAAATTAACCTTAATATTTGTATCACATTTCAACTAGAAGTAATTTCAATAATTTTACATTGTTACCTGTTTGAAATATCAACCAATTACAGATAACTCTAACCTTAATATTTATATCACATTTCAAATAAGAGTAATTTCAATAATTTTACATTTTTACCAGTTTGATATATATCATAATTACAGGTAAGTTTGACTTTAATATTTATATCAGATTTCAAATAGAAGTAATTTCAATAATTTTACATTGTTACTTGTTTGAAATATCAAATAATTACCCGTAAGTTTAACTTTAACATGTATGTTTCACATTTCACTTCAAATTAGTTTCAGTATTTTTATGTTGTTACCTGCGTAAGACATTAATTTATTACAGGAAAGTCTATTTTCTCCTCACACTTTTCCAGTAGAAATATTTCAATAATTTTACACTTTTACTGATACACTGTCACAAATAGAAGTTAGGATCAAATGATGGCATTTAAAGAATAAGTAGTCCAGATTGTGTTCATAATAATGATATTCATAATTCATAATATGAATGAAATCTAAAATTCCATATTCTTTTTAACAAGGAAAATTAATGTTAAGTGATGAAGGAAGAAGAGTATCATATTTTAATTTGATTAATTATTCCATTGATACTTTGTCAGTTGTGTGCCATCAGTTTCACGTCTGATCTTAAGTTTTGTACCATTAAACGGATTGTCAAAATCGGATACTGTCCTGACGAGGAATACCTTGTTATCACGCATCTTGATAAATATTATGCCGTCGCTTGTCCAGGCAGATTCTTTTTTTCTTTTTGAAGCTTTCTGGTCATGTATGACAGGTTTGAGCGAATTTTTGTGAGGTCTTCGTTGATATATATATTACGTCCTCAGAACAACTTTTATTTACTTCTACATTATCTTCGCCACGTGTAGAGTTTGTTGGTGCCATTTCTCGACCAATCATTGACATACCAGAGTTCTTTAATTCTCTTAAACGATTTGCATTTTTGATGAAGGCTCGTTTAGTATAATATCCCTTAAATTTGCAAATTATCTGTCTTGGACTTGAATCTGTCCCCGATGGAGGCTTTCCCGTCCTGTGGCTTTTGTTAATGTCATCTACAGAAATTTTTGCACCAGTTAAATTTCCTACCTGGGTGACTTACTCATTGGTGTCCTTATTGTTGGTTTCGGGAATTCCAGAGATTCTCACACCTTCACGTCTCATGCTGTTCTCGTTCATCGTCACGTTCATTTAAACTTTTGATAGCACTATCTCATTTAGCTTCAATTTTAGTCCACTAACTTCATCTTCTAACTTTTTCAATTTATTCAGGTACCTTTTCGATACTAGCGTCCTCCTTACTGAACTCAGACAGTATATTTTCATCGACTTTACTTTTAATATTTTCTAGATGTTCTGAAGAACTAGAACCAAGTCTTTTACGTAGATATTCCGGATGCCATACTCAGCTTACGAAAAAAATATCTGACAATTTTTTTAGTTTTTAGTCTCTGGTTACACAAACGATACTCAACGTAATTCACACAAGACATCCACATATAACGTCCACATTTTATAACTAATCCTTATTTCGATCTTCGAAAATAAAACACATGTTAATCCTGCATGTAGATTTACAAAAATTTAAGTTACGGCCTGGGATAAAAATTCACAAAGCAAACTCGTTCGACTCCTCACTTGACGCCATCTTGTTACTATACATGTAGTGTATGGTATCACCCAGCGTAAAATCAGACTTAACACATAAATAACATATTATTTTCAACATAGAAGAGGATTGTATTGTGGTTTATTCATAGACAAGTATGTACTATAAACAATTGTTTTATTGACAGTTTATATTGTTTTGGTAAATGTAATGTTATACTACGTTATTGAGGAATGCTCTTTATGTGAATAGTTAGTGGAGTGTATAGAAAACTGTTCACAGTACAATACATCATGAGTCAATACATCACAGATACAAATGTAATATTTGACAAATATTATTCTTTCCTTTCAGTTCAGAATATGGGATTTGATAAAACAAACATTAGATACTAAACAGCTAATTGAGAGCGATATGAATGAAGATAACTGTATTGATAACACAGAATTAGAAAAAGAGCTTTAAAAAAATTAAAACCTATATTCAACAACAATTAGCGAATGTAGTGGATTAAACTCAGTTACAAAACCTACTGGGTATAGATAACATTAATAACAAAGTTTTAAAACAGACAAAACAGATTCAATTTAATTATAATCAAATTGAAGCGGTGGATTTAAAATTGAATACAAAATTGACTTAAATGATAAACAAATTGAAAAGGAGATTCATAATAATAAACATTTCTGTTTGTTAAAAGAAATGAAAACACTCTTGGAATAAAAGAAATAGAAGATAACTACAAACAAGATTGGAAATCTTGCGATGAACAAAATTGCAAGCTTGTTTCAGAATGTAATCCATCGACCCATGCACCAACACCACAACTTGAAACCATGTATGCGTGGGATTGTGAAGCTTACGCAGAAGAAACTGGTAAAACAACACCATATGCTTGTACTTAGGTTAATCTGGAAAAGTTGCGAAAAATGTTGGAAAGAATAAATGGAGTTTATCCAGACTTAAAACCAACAGATAATATTCCCGAAGAGTTTTATGAAAAACTTATGAATATAGTTCACATATTTGTGGGAGTAAACTGTATATATCAAATGTTGAAACATTTATGTTCTGTCGGTCAAAAACAGTTAACTCTAATTTGTCACAACGGTAGTGATTTTGATAATAGGATAATTATTAAAAATATGGCAAAATTAACTCATTGTCCTCTCAAAAACAGTACAGGGATATTTCGTATAGCAATATCTAATCCTTTTACAGAAACAAGTTTACAGAAAAAATGGAATAGTAAAAAGAAATTTATCAACAAAAACAATCATTTTCAAAAAATAAATTTCACCTGTTTCTATCAACATCTAGCAAACAGTTTAAAAGATTTGGGACAATCATCAAAATTACCAATGTATGTAAGAAAGATTGATTTAGATATCACGGAATTTAACGAAACAAATTGAGAACCTCGAAGAGAAGAATGGGAGCCTTATGCTAAAAGAGATACAATATGTTTAGCAGCATGTTTGATGAAATACAATAAAGTCATGAAATCTATGATAAATCAAACTATTATAAATAATTCAACAGCACCTTCTCTGTCTCTTAAAGGTTGGTATTATTTATATAAAGGAGAAGTATGTTCTCACGTAGATCCATTCATCAGACACTATGTAAAAGGTGGTAGAGTTTCGGCAAACAAAATAAAATTCAGGTCGAATAAATTAAATGAAATATGTCATATGTTGCAAACGTATATAGAGACGGTTGAAAACACTCAGCTGGATATAATTGACATACTTAAAAAATATAAAGAATCTACGAAAGATCAATCGGGTCTTTACGAAGAGATGAAAAAATTAGTTTCGCAGACCACTAAATTAATGGCATTTGACGCTAATGTTCTTTATGCTTCTGCTATGTGTGATGGTGAATATCTAAAAGATGAATCAGCAAGAGCTTTTAAACAATCCCAAAACGACGAATTCGTAAAGCTTTTTAATATACAAAAATTTAGACCAAGGTGTGCTATTTTTTCAGTTTGGTTTGAATATCCAATATATGTTTTTTCAACCAATACCAGCCAAAGACAAAATAAGTTTTACTGTCCAAGGGGACGATAGACTCCAAACAAAAACTGGTGATAAGATAAGATTTAGAAATGGATTTTGTAACGACCTTCTCACATCAGTCGACATATAGGAAATTGTCCAAGCTGGTCGAAGAATTACCAGAATATTAGTTTACGAAGAAAATTTTAAAGGCTATATTTTGACTTTAAAGGAAAAAGAAACAACAGAGTGATACTGTAGGTAGCAATTGCGTGAAATTATTGGGAAATGTTATTTACGGTAAAACAGAAAGATATTAATACAGAATTTCATTTATGGTCAGAAGCAACTCTTTAAGCAAATTTTGATTCAAATATAATTCGTTTCGAACAAGTAAATGATTATAAATACATAGTGGAAAAAGAAAAAGAACAACCCGAAATTACTGAACCAACAAAAACAACGAAATTAGCTCGGAGTCATTTAGGATCATTCATATAATATTTGGCTCCGAAAGTAAAATACAATATTGTTGTAACTTTTAAGGAGAATTAGTGGAAAAGAAAACTTTTAAAGGATATAAAAAAAACTAAGTTGACTGTGTATGATTATCTTTAATTAACGAGTGGAGAAGACATTGAAAATGAATTTGATAAACCTTGGATAAAAAGTTTTAAAGACGGTGTTGTAATTCCGAAAGATAAACAAAAGAAAATGTTTAAAAGAAAACCACCAAACAAATATGGAATAATGAATCCTTGTGATAATAAAAATGAAATTATCATGGATGAAAATGATCAATTCGATGATTACGATTACATACTTTTATCCCTGTGGAATTAATTTCTGGTTTCATTTTATTCAAATCTGTTCATCTTTCTATCCATTACATTTATGATATGACTTTTCTAGTAATAAACAATACCTGACCTTTTCACCTGCTGTCTGTTCAATATATATGGACAGCTGAACACCCATTTTGAACAAATCTTCTATGTGGGTGGAGAGCAAAGCAAAATAATGGATAATTTAAAACAAAATCAACATATTGAAACTAAGGTACATTTCCAAATAACTCACACATAATTTTATACTTTCTATATAATTCGTTAAAATCTTTAGTATCTGGATCAATTGTTTAAGGTTGGTTATTCATTCTTATTTATTATTTTATTGCGAATCCGGAAGAGGTTTGAAGAATTCTATGGAACACAATGTGTATTCTTATGTTGTTTCAATGACTTTTAGCAATAAATCACTGTTAAGTTTTACTTATCTCATTTTGTCAGTCACTATTACTTTTTTTTAAATCATTGTTCTTTGAAGGAATTGTTCTTAGTTATAATGAAATATTATTAAAGATAAATACTAAGGGAAATTAATTATACCACTGAGTATCCATACAACGTGTTTTTGTCGACTTATTTCTAGAACAAACATTGTACACGAAAATAGGTGACGCATTTAGCAGTCATTGTCGAGTTGGTTACTCGTGAAATATCATCGTGTCCAAACCACAACCCCATTCGTCATACTTTCTCGGGTTAATAAGACCATGTCAAAGCCCGTATTCGTGATACGATGATGTAATTTGTGTCAAAGTGGGGGGATTCATTAAAGATAATCGAAACCAACCAATTTTAGTTTTTTTGTTGAATATCTGAGGAAACTTCTAAGACATAAACAAAAATTTTGCGTTGTTTCATTTTGACGAAATTCAATGTTGAATCCTTATATGCAGAAATTTCGGTTACATCACTGTAAATAAACTTTCAAAACTATCTGTCTTTTGTTCACATTAAATTACTTATATTGGTACTATCTTCCTGATCTGGCCTCGTATTCTCGAAACGATCTTAGCGCTAGGATGTTCTAGAATCTATGTTAGAAGATAAGAACCTAGGGCATCCTAACGCTAAGATCGTTTTGAGAATACGTGGCCTGGTATGGTAAGTATTTGATGAGGCTACTTACTGGGTTGTTTCGAATGACTGTTCAGGTAAGCTTGCAGTAGGAATTTCAAATCGATTGTTATTTCTACTTCTACTTCAGGATCAGGAATTCTTGGTTTAAACCTAGCTTAAGTTGGTTTAAGTTGTCTCCTTTTCTTTCTCAATCTGGAACCTTCTTGTGATTCAACTATATAAGATCTAGGAGAACCACGAGTTTCTACAACTTTTCCTGGTAGTAATTCTTTGTTGTGTTCTATCACAACAGGATCATTTGGTTGCAAGTTGATCAGGTTTTTACTCATGCTTTGTTAAAATAAAACTCTTGTTTCTTCTGTTTCTGTTGAAGGATATCTTTAATTATGTTACCATCATATTTGTCCGGTTTTAATAATGTTGAAGTGGTTGGTAAACTTGATTTTAGTCTTCTACCAATGTGTAATTGAGCTGATGATATCATATCTCCTTCTATTGGTGTATTTCTATAATCAAGTAAAACATTATAAGGATCTTTACTCTTTTCAATCAATTTCTTTACTGTTTGTACATATCTTTGACTATTTGACTATAGATAATGTGGACTTGTTTAAAACCATAATCATCAATAAACCTCTTAAATACAACCTTGAGGAATTATGGTGCACTATCTGTTACCAATTCAACAATATATCCACAATGGATATTAACTTCTTCAGATAGTGGTAGTTGTTACATTGTCTAATTTATCTACCTCAGACCATCTGAGAAATAATCAACAGTTAAAAGATATTTTCTGACGCTATTCAAATATACCGACACCAAAAGATATCAAAAGATATCACTACTTGAAATTTGGCTCGGACAAAGTCGTAATTAAAAAAAAAGGCTTCTAGAGGACCAATGTATTCTTCTTATTTACACTTTAACATAAGCTTAAGAACAATCGGACTAAAAATGTAATCTGCATTAAATGTTTACGTTTTTATAATTTTTCCGGATTGCGGCTAAACTGTTAGTGTACGAAGAATTTTGAGGCAAATTGAACAGATATTAAACATTTTAGAGCGGATTTCTGAAATCAAGGAGTTTACGTGCTGAACCTGTCACACATTTTTCTTTTAGTTTCATTCTATCCGTTTTGGCATCCTTTGAATAATCTAATGACGAAATTATAATGAATACAGTTAACATTCTGCTATTGTGATCATCAATTTTAGTATTAGCGGAATAGATATTTAAGGAGTCATTATCCTCGCCTGTGACGTCGTTGCAACATTTTTATGTCTTTTGGTTTTTTTTTTCTGTACGTTTACGTGTTTGGACTCTGTTTAAAACTTCAACAGATATACAAATTATCCTTGTGTCTCATTATTTCCTTCAGCGTAACAATTTTAAAATTTCAGATCCGTAAATCATACATCGACGACTTGATAAAAAGTTGTGCAGAAATTGCAAATGGTCAGAATTTTCCTAATTATTACCTAGTTATACTTAACCAACATTACTAAAAATATACAGACAATTTTTATGCTTA